TGTGATAATACATTCTCTTTAATTCTATAAACAGACATAATTTCTTGTTCAGTTACAAAGTTCCGCTGTTCACGTCCTATAATTGCTGTGTCAAGAATACCGACTAATTTGTCAATCGAAATTTTTTCGTTTTCAATAACTTCTGTCACTTTCTTCGCTATCGGAAGCGAATTATAATGACGAGGCATTTGATTTAAATCATATCAAAGATGAAGTACATCGAGATGAAATACTACATTGAGTAAGCAATTATAAGCCAAATAAAATAAAAACATCTGCCCTTAAGATAAGGATAGTGAATTCATTGCACGCCGCCGCCGCGTTAAAGATAAACAAAGTTTAGATAAACAAACGTTAAAGTTTAGATACACAAGCGTTAAAGTTTGGTTAACAAAATATATGCCTTTATCCATTTTTTTGCAGCAATTCCACTTTTTGTTTAATGGACTCCGAAAGATAGTTTCGCTTTGTATATCCTTTACATATTAGTAAATATATATCGGAAATTCTATTTGACAAAATCGAAAGTTTAAGCTTACTTTTATAAAATTGCTCTAACAGTCTGCAAAAAATAATAATCCGGATCCAATTCGAAGATTAAGGAACAACGCAATCTGGAACATTAACTGAAATAGATAATTAGATAATTTTAGCTTACTTATCCCGTCCGTTATACATTAACGCGCATCGTAAATATTTTGCGCCGCATGTTTCGATAAAGGTCTTCGCGCGATGCGCAGAAAGTTTGTACTTTGAGGTCCGATTATTCCGGATTATGGGTGTCCGAATACGACTTGACTGTATATACAAAATGATTCATGAAGACTGATTAAGTAGGAAAATTAGTGTCCCTGGTAAGGAAGGCCGCTAATGGTCTGATTTTGACATTTTCAGGAAACACGGTATAGTCGAAAACTTTAAAGTATTTCATGTGCGAGCAGTTTCTCGCCTTATCAAAAAATTTCCGATTTGCATTATTGAGGAAATTCTCGATATTCTCTATTTTTAAATCTCTATGAAGAGTTTCATTGGAAACATAAAAATGAGCATTCGTGATTTGTCTTAAAAATTTGTTTTGTGTGATCTGTAATTTCTTGAGGTCATTTTTCGAATAAGTCGCCCAGGCTGGAGACGCGTAAGAAAAGATAGGCCGAATAATGGCAGTATAAATATGTCTTTTTCTTCGTAGGTCAAGTTTTGAATTTTTTCCGATTAATGGAATAAGATCTCTGATAGCCGCAACTGTTTTGCCTCTGACTTTTTGGATATGGTCTTTCCATGTGAATTTATTGTTTAATACAACACCAAGGTAGGTAGCTTTGTTCACAAGCGGAACTTCGACATTAAAGATTTTAAGTTTATTTACAAAAGGACTTCTAGAGTGCCTTTTTCCTATGATTATAAGCTGGGATTTTTGTGCATTGATGGCTATGCGCCATTTCGTGCACCATTGCTCAATTTCTGGAATTTTATCCTGCAATTTAGAAATGGCAAGTTCTTGATTGTGAGACGTGTATGCAAGCGCCGTGTCATCGGCGTAACATCCTAAATAAAAATTTGGGTCAGTGCATATTTTAGGGAAATCAGCAACATAAAATATAAAAAGAATTGGTCCCAAAATTGATCCTTGAGCTACACCAGCGTTGAGTCTTCTGGGATCAGAGTTGTCGTTACCAATATTGACAAAGAATTTTCTGTGTTTAATAAAAGAATAAATGAGTAAGATCAGGTCTCTGTCAAAATCCAAGGAAATAAGCTTGAGAATAAGCCCCTCATGCCAGACGCGGTCGAAAGCTTTCGCCACGTCTAGCATGAGTAAGGCGACACTCTGATGTTTGAAAAGTGCAGAACCGATGTATTCACACAGTCGGACAAGCTGCTTGGTCGTAGACAAATTCTTGCGGAAGCCAAACTGTTCAGGAGGTATCTTATCCATGTAAGGCTCGATTCTCTTATAGATAACTCGTTCGTAGATTTTGCCCAGACCGGGCAGTAAACTAATTGGTCTGTAACCCTCCGGGGAGGTAGCATTTTTACCAGGCTTGGGTAATAAAATAACTTTAGCAGTTTTCCATTTATCGGGGAAATAATTTTTCTCAAGACAGGCATTTAAAATGCTGACATATTTCGTGATAACATTAATAGGCATGTTTTTGATAGCGACGTTGGTGATGTTATCAAAACCGGGAGCTTTTCTATTCTTCATTCTTTTGATAATCTCCTTAACTTCATTAGGTGAAGTATAATTAGTCTTGTTTTTGGGTCCCGGGCCGTTAATCCAGTCTTGAATAAAATACCTAGTGTCATATGAAAATAAAGGGTCGCTCGGATCTTGGTTAGGAACAAATTGTTTTTCTAAAAAATCAGCCATTACATTGGCTTTGTCTTTATTGGTGACGGCTATAGTATTATCACCGTAAATTGGTTTATTGTTCGGCTTTTTGCCGCGAAGATTCCTTGCAAAAGACCAGAATGCATTATTCGGCTCATTGAATGTTTCAATTTTTGCGTTCCAAGACTCATCTCTGTGTTTATAAATACTTTTCTTTATTTCTCTGTTCAGTTTATTTAACTCTTTTTTGATTCTAGGATCCCAGGCAATATGCCATCTTTTGCGTAGTTTGTTTCTTTGTGATATCAGGTTTCTAATGTTATTAGGCAATCTAGCACTGTACTTATCAGCGGGAATTTTCTTAGTAGCCCTGTTATATGCACTAAGTATGCTATTATTGAGAACATCAATTGCGTAATCAATATCAAATTTTGTTTTAAGGTGCTTAATAGCCGGAGGGTTTTCAATGAGGTAATTATGATATTTATTCCAGTCCGTAGTGATTTTAAACCTTTCATCAGTGTTTTTATTCGTACCAAGCGTAGCTAAAACAGGCACGTGATCTGAAGTTAATTCAACTTTCACATCGAGATAAATCGGGATTGAAGTGGTGGTAAGAATAACATCCAGGATGTCTCCTTTTCTAGGGTCATCAGGAAGATAGGAATAGTCAGCTGGAGCATAAAAATATATAGGATAATTATTAATGAATTCAAGTAAAAGTTCTCCATTTCTGTTGGTGCGTCTGCAACCCCATTCTACATTCTTCGCGTTGAGATCGCCAGCTAAGATGATATGTTCCGAATTGGGCAGCAATTGAGCGAGTTTATGCTCATCTATAGGAGTGTGTGGAGGGTTATACAATGCAATGAAATAAATTATGCCATAATTTGGTAATAAAACAGAAGCTGTAACAGCTTCGTAGCCGTTTCCTCTATCTTCGCTAATCAGGCATGACTAATTCTAAATCCAAACATTATCTTTTGTCCTATGAATACTGCTTATTTTTTTTTTTTTCCCATAGGAATAGACATTTCTCTCCACGCTCACACATTCCACAGCAGTTCGCTATATGTTTGGCTAAAGCCTTTTCGTCGCCAAGCAAAGGTTACAATGCACAAAATATGAGTACTGCGCATGCGTGGAGCTTAAGAAAACATTTATGGAACCGAAGAACTGCTGCTTCGAAGCAAAACCGCCTGATCGTTATCTTCCGGGGGCTTTGTCCGAACAGAGTAAAAAAAAAAAATTCGGCTGCGTTACCAGATTTGAACTATTATCGCCCTTTCTGGCAGTGTATACATTCACTAGGTTCTCCGTGGAAGTGTTTCTTATTTTTTACTTTATAATTTAAAATCTAAATTTATTTTTTACTCTACAATTTAAATTTAATGCATTTGCATGTCTGACATTCTCTTCGGAAACGGGTTTTCATCCGCAGAGAACCCGTTGGCGCCGTTGCATTTTTACTCGCCAAGCTCGCGTTTCATCAGCAATGAGCCGAGCCACAAACGTGATTTTTAGTGCATGTAAATTCAAGTTAGCACACAAAACAATATATTAAGCATATGGTAGTCAAAATTCACAGATAATAAGCATGCAGATGTAAAACTAACCACAGATGTCAAACGTGATATACTAAAAATAAATTTGTATTAAATTCAAGTTAGCACAGAAAAGAATATATTACGTATAAGACAATATATAAGCATTTATAACGGAAATAAAAATTCATTTGAAAAATATAAATTAGTATTAATGTACTGAAATTAACCGGTTAAACGTGATAAACGAAAAAAAAAATTTGTCTAAAATTCCAGTTAATACAGAAAACAATATATTTCTTACACCAGCAGTGGTTTGCTAATTTTGATGACCATGGTGATGCATCAAACTATTCTGTCATCTTAAGTAATCAATAATATTTTTTATTTCAATTTAATCATCTGTTTATGTCACACCAGCCATCCTCTGAAAGGTTATTGTTAAAAAAGCATTAACAATATATTGTTAAAATTTATTTATTCTCATTTTAGATGACAATAACCAATAATAAAAATAAAAGCATTACTTAGTTATTTAAATTGCTGGTTCTTAGAGCTGTTAATAATTAAGAACACAACGTGAACAGCCGTGTTACAAATTAGCATTCACGCCGTATTTTCTTCCTTTCATCCCGAACCGAGAACCGGTATCTATCTACGAAAATATGTCTATCCATTCGTTGTTAAAAAATTCAGAAAAAATAATAATAAATAAGAGAAGAAGAATATAAATCTGCAAATGCGAACAACGACAGTGATAATTCAACAAAATGAACCCAAGAGGAATGGTTGCAAACTTCGAACAAGCGAATAGGATAAATCCGCTGGGTTACCAGGTTTGAACTATTATCGCCAAAGTTGGCGATGTTTACATTTACCGGGTTCTCTGCGGAATTGCTTCCTCGGAAACTAAAAGCGTTCGATCGCTTTTGCGAGACACTACAGAATAACACAAGTTTTTTACATAATTGATTTTCTCGATTTCCCCCCACGATTAACGAAGCCTAAATATTTACAAAGGTATGTCTTGATATCAATACTGTACAGATTCGTACATTCTCTTAACGATATGTTCACAGCCTAAATACAATACTAGTAAAATGATATACCAGAGGTTAACTTACTAAGTTCTTCAAAGTTTTAGTTTTATGTTTCACTTCCATCGGATTTTGCGGATACCAATCTACGCAGTTTCAAACATGCCAACTGACTTAACGCTCCGCAATTACCTACAAATTGTACATAGTTTTCAGACAATCTTCGGATCGTCCCATTGGAGTTTCAAGGGGTGTGACTGTTGTCACGTGATAGCTAGTAGCCATCTCATTGGTTTAGAGTTCTCCAAAACAAAGTGCTGAAATAGAGAAAATTAAGAACATACGGAAATAATTCACGTGTTTATTTTCTTACATACTACTTGGAACTTCTATCAGTACACTACATAAAACTGATTTTTCAAATAATCCTTTACGTGATTAGTTTGGATAAGAAAAGTAGCTTCTCAATTAATAACCTGCCTAACAAAGCTTTTCCTTGGATTCTGTTTACGTTATTGTACATATTTTTGCGCTTATTTCCTACTTACACAAGCATTTCTCCAAGCATTATTTTATTCAGTAATTTTATTTTCCTTTTCGAATCAAAGTTTATTACCGCAAAATTATTCCATGCTATTACCTACTTTTCTATTAGGACTCCACTGTTGACAATTTACACCGACAATAGATGGCGGCACCTCCTGGACACATTTCTTGCCTCTTTAGTAAGAGTTGGTAGTTGTTCGATGAGACAAAAATTCGAACTGTTTCTTTTTAAACTCCGATTTTTCCTTTCCGCTCTTCGCTCTCGACGGGGTATAAATCTTCTTAGGCTGAGAAGGAGTTGAACTAGTTTAACGCTGTAAGATTTATCATCTTCACTTAAAGATGGATTCCTTAACCAAACGCGCAATATTTCTTCTGGAATGCACGACTCTACCAGAGGCAATAACATAGCAGCATACTTAGTTATCCCTATTAATTCAAAGGATCTTAAGTGTGACTCTAATTTCCCAATAAGTCTCTAACATAAAACTCTGATAATATAATAGTTTTTCACGACAGAATCTGTTCTGCAAACTCTCGGCTGCTTTTAAATAATTCTCGGCAGTTGGCAAGTAACTATCAATTATTTCTTTGGGCCCTGTTCTTGAAGCCATACACTGAATCAAATATTGAAATTTATCCTCTGACTCCATTATGTTTATCTTCGTGAATTCTCCTGAATTGGCTTCAATCTTTTATCCAATCTTTTAACTTGTTCCCGGAATTTCATTAGTTCAGTCTTGGGAAGTCTGAGTTTCGGTTTCTCAACATTCGAAATTACAGATTCTTGATAAAAAAATACATTTTGTACAATAGAATTCGCACGCACTCTTGCGTCATGATATTTTTCATTATTACTGTTCAACTGTTTCGTGGCCCACCAGCGGCCAAGCGGTAAAATCGCTGAACACTGGTAGTTCGGTTCGAATCCCGCAAACGGGCTGGCTGAATGGGCGTTTTCGTGGTTTTCCCCATGTGTAACGTGTATACGAGCCCGTTTCCCTTAGAAAGTCTTCCACGAAGGCATCCCTCCCCTTAGGCAGATAGCCCTAGTGTGCTTTGCCGTAATTAAATACACCAACAGCAACTGTTTCGTACTTATTATTACACGCATCACTTTTTGTTTCATAGGCTAGCAAAGACTCTAAAATTTGCTCATGAGTTTCACTAGTTTTTATTCTTCCTAATGAAGCGGGTTTAACATCAACGTCCAATTTTTTAACTGTTTCCTCTTCAAAAAGAGTTACTTAAAGTTATATACATTTTCGTAAATGATGCCTTAATGGCATTCATTTTCTTACTAAAACATCCATCGTTTGCTTTTGTTATGACCTAATAGTTAGTAAATATTTTCAACAAATATACATGTAACTGACTTTATACAGGCTTCAATCATGTCCGATTTGTCACCAAATGTTGGATAATACAAAAGAAATTCAAACTGTTTTTTTTTTCTTAAATTCCGTTTCCCCCCCCCCCCCCCTTCTTTCTTTTAATATCAGATCAATTTATTATTTTTTTCCTTTCCCAAAACAAACTTATTCTAAAGATATATTAACAATGTTGCTATTAAAGAGCAACTTAATTCATGATATAAAAAGATAATAGGTCGCGCTTTAAATCACTATCCCCGAGATTATATCCACGTTCAGAGATCATTACGTCAGGTGCCTTCCGGCTTGAACCGACATCGTTGTACCCAACAATAGCCCGGTCATAACAAAGAGTCTAAGTCTTTTAATCACATTAATAACGCAGCAGCACCTGTGCATATGATTTTTTTCCTTAGCTGGATTTTCACGAACTCACTACTTACGCAACATCATTTATGCTACATATAAAAGTAAAGGCCTTATAGTCGTAGACTGTTGATACTAGTGACAATCCATCCATTTATCCAATAATATGTATGCAAAAGACGTATATTCTGTTCTAAAGACCACATCAATTCGTATAAAGGTTGTAGAGAGTAGCAATCAAGATTCAAAAGCAAAGAAAAAACTTAACCCACTCCTGCTCCTCCCAAAAAAAAGAAGTAGTCCCACCACTTAGGACATTTAAAGTTTCTTGAAAAAAATCACCGAAAACAAGCAGACCTACAGCGAAAAATTAAAGATAAACTTCCCACCAATAGAAGACATTACTATTATTTTACCCATATTTAAAGATCCTAAAGTTTTCTGTTTAATGAATAGTATTACAATAATAGCCCTATGCGCCAGGTCAAAAATGGATCCTCTTTTATTTACACAAGAGACTGCTTTGTTAATGGACTTTTCTTCTTACATGGCCTTAGGGCAGGGATCGGCAACCTGCAGTTCACGAGCAGCGTCCGGCTCTTTTGATGTAAAGTTACGGCTCTCCAGTTCCATACAGAAAAATCCATAATTTATTAACAAAACCCTTAAAAAATAAGAAAATATATTTTTAAGTACCTAATTTCTCAATAGCGTCTATTTTTCATAATCGTTAATTACGCTTAACATGACCGTGATGAAATAAATTTGAACCATTGTTACTGTACTGTTAATTTGAACTATTGTTCATTTTTTCAGCTCCGCCGTCAGCATGGCAGCTGGTAAAAAAAGAGAAGAATTGAAGAAGAAAACCGAGAATTCAATCAGGATTGGGTGGAGTCGTTTGCATTCGTATGCAACACAGATGGCTCTCCCAGTTGCCTCATTTGCCACCAAAAACTCGCAAACAATAATAAGTCGAATTTGGGGAGACACTTCACTTCAAAATGTACCCAGTTTGCTGGTAAATATCCAACCGGGAACGCACGAAAAAAGCTCTTGAAGAGCTTATATATATATATATTTAAAAAAAAAAAATTAAGTCATATTCCATGTTAAGTAACTGAGCACAATCTTCCAATAATGTAAATCTGCCAAGCTCTGCAGTATCATTAGAAATTGCAAAAAAGAGTAAACTATTCACGACAAATTCGTCAAAGATTGTTTTATACGTGCATCTGAATAACTGTTTCGTGATATTAAAATCAAAGCAGAAATCATAAAAAAAATCAAAGATTTGCCGTTATCTGCAAAAACAGTACAGATAGAACTGCTAAGATGTTTTCAAATGTAACACATGTACAAGTGAAAGACATTCAGCTAGCTTCTGCCTTATCACTTCCTATAGATGAGTCTTGTGACATATAAAAGACACGACACAAGTTACCCTTTTCGTACGGTATACGTCCTCCCAAGGTCCAAACGAAGAACTGTAGGATTGATCTCTCTCAGGGCAAACTCGAGAAGATAGCAAATGCTTGTGCAAAAATGATGTATGACAGGAATGATATTAATAAAATTGTTTTGATAGCAACTGTAGAGCCAGAAGTATGACAGGAATACATAGAGGGGTAACGTCAATTCTTCAGAAAAAAATAAACCATGAAATTCTAACATTTCACTGTGTAATTCACCAAGAAGCGTTTTGTACTTAAACATTTCCGGCTGAAATAGTTGAGGTCATGAACTTGGTAATTAAGATTATTAACAGCATTTTGCAAAAGCACTCTACCATCACTAGTTTAAAGATGTTCTTGATACATAACCAGTTTTCTAACCTGATTCTGCACAATAAAGTGTGATGGCCTTCTAGAAGTAACAAATTGCAACGCTTTACTTTGTGTTTGAGTGAAATAAAAAAATTCCTCAATGAAAAAAAGCATTGACCGTCCCGAATTGGAAGAAGACAAACAGCTGCAAAATTCTACTTCATGGTAAATACCAGTATGAAACTAAATGAACTAAATCTAAAACTGCAAGGAAAGAGCAACCCAGCCTACGCCTTGCTTGAAATAGTTTGTTTCGAAACAAATTACTTATTTTTGTTGAAGACATGGAGAGCGGTAAATTTTAAAAATCTGAAGTATATCGCAATGAGACCAATGCAATTATTGACACGAATTACTTCGACATAGCTTTAAAAACCATGAAGGATGGATTCGCTGAGATATTTGAGCAATTCAATATAAACAAAAGTACTCTTGCGTTCAATAGTAAATCCTCTTAACGCAAATACAAACGATATCAACAATGAGACATTTGGAATTGATGCTGGATCGCTTCAAATGCAACTGCTATATTAGAAAACCAAAAACTTATGGAGTGGCAAGTTCATATAACTCTAGAGAAAGTTGGAAGAGTTTGAAGTCCAGAAAAGCATGCAACATCGAGCAGCTCAAGTGTACAGCTTTAAAAGAAATTCCACGAGTTGAGGCCCTCATATTCGGCGCATGGAATAGTCTTCCAAAATGGTACAGTGAGGTGAAGAAGTTGGCATATGAAGTACTGACGATCTTCGGGTCGGTATATTCGTGCGAGCAAGCGTTCTCTTGCATGAATATAAAAAAAAGTAACGTTTGAAGTCAACTTACAAATAAAAATTCAGAGTCGTGCTTGAAACTTAAAACAACAAGCTATAAGCCAGATTTAATCAATCATCCAAAAGGCATGCAAAGCCAATGCTCCCATTGAATGGCTTTTCAGTGGCTCTTTAAAAACTGGGAAATTTTGTAGATTGTAACTTTTGGCTCTTCCGTTTCAAAAGGTTGCCGACCCCTGCCTTAGAGGACTATGAAATTTGTATTGGTAAAGGCCTTCGGGTCATAAACTTCTCAATGAATGATGATCTTCGAAGAATATACAAAATAGAATAAGGTGCGAGTGTCCAGTGTATAATTGAT